TTAAAGGTCAACTCCAAGGTGCATCAGTGTCAGACCACACCATCTGTTGTTGTTTGACTCAATGTGAATCTCCGCAGGATATAATGAAATCTCAAGACTATCATGGTATTCTAAAGAGAAATGTGCTGCCCACTGTCAAAACGCTTTGTCTCGGGTCATGGTCATGGGTCTTATGACAGGTTAATGACGCAAAATAGTCGTTCTATTTGGTCTGATGTAAATCATATTCCCTCATGACAAGAAAAGTAGAGGTGGACATCTGACAAACACCTGGCAAAACATTTGCGACTTTGAACGATCCAGGATGAGAATGCAACATTCATTACCTTCACAAACAACCGGAAATGTTCGCAGCTCAGTGAGATCGGGTCGTGAAGGTACAGTGTATAGAATTTAGTGGTTTCTAGTGGTGAACTAATAGGTAGTATGCAATGACCTAAACTCGAAGCATGTGCACGTGCACTACGGTGCCTCAGAGAAAACATTTTGTAAGCCTACCACCAATTTCTGAATGTCTTAAGCAGAGGTGCAAGCAAAGTGTAATCCAAACGACTTCCCAAATTCCTTCAAATGACAGGGTAAGTGCATGGAATTTATTACACATGCTGCAGTTAGTATTTTTTTCAGTACACCCTGCTTCTCCTGCCTCCCGCTTTTGTGTGTCCACTACCATCAACAACATGACAAGATGCCCGGTTTCTACGAAGCTTTTTATACTAGCAACACAACTTTTAACATTAGTTATCAATAATTCGGGGTATATTAAATGGATTACCATTTTCGACAAAGAATTTAAAATAAGTCAATTTGCAGATGACATCTCAATATTGTTAAAGCATAGATTCATGGTGGACAAAACTCTCAACACCATCACAAGATTCTCGAAAGCGTCCACATTATCACTAAACATTGAAAAATGTGACTTATTCCCTCTTTATACAACCAGTGACATATCTGTTAATTCAATTGAAGTTAAATCAGAAGCAAAATACTTAGAAATAATAATATCATCCATCAATTTTCTGATCCGCTTTATCCTCACAAGGCGGGGCATGCTGAAGCCTGTCCCAGATGTCTTGGGCAGTAGGTGGGGGACACCCTGGTTGCCAGCCAATCACAGGGCACACAGAGACGAACTACGATCCACACTCACACTCACACCTAGGGACAATTTAAGAGTGTTCAATCAGCCTGCCATGCATGTTTTTGGAATGTGGGAGGAAATTGGAGTACCCGGAGAAAACCCATGCAGGCACGGGGAGAACATGCAAACTCCACACAGGTAGGCAGGCCGGAGCCGGAATCAAACCCATAAACTCTGCACAGTGAGATTGACACGCTAACCACTCAAACACCGGGCCACCATAACAATATCCAAAAACTGCAATTAGAAGAGATAAATAGTGCTAAACTTTGATGGGACATGAAGTCACTTAGTCGCTGGTTAACCTTACTATTTCTGGCAGAATTAAGGTATCATAGGGGAAGTTATTCTCAATCTGATTTTCCCCTGTCTCTCTCTGTTATTCAAAGGAAAGCTGAGGAAGTTTCAGAGGAAAGATTCGAATTTGAGGTTGAGAACTGACGCTTCTGTCGATATCGCTGTATTTTATAATATAAAACAAATTGTATTTGATTTTTGAAAAAAAACAACAACAAAAAACATGCGAAACACCGAAGCCGCAAAATTTGAAGAGTAAAGTAGCGAGTTATCACTGCGTATTGCGTGTGTGTGCAGTATGAGTGTGTGTGTATATCTATCGATCTATCTATCTATCTATCTATCTATCTATCTATCTATCTATCTATCTATCTATTGTTGGGGGAAGAGCGGCCTTCTCTTCCCCGCGCGTTCCTTGAATTTTGGATGAGGAGAATGTTGGTTCTTCAAATAAAGGCTGGAGTCAATGAACAGTTCTTTCGAAGGGTTTAATTTATTTTCTGCAGTTTACGAATCGATGCGGGCTCCCGAGGGGTCCAGATTTCAATCAGGAAGCGTAAAAGCACAATGTCAAAGTGCCGGCCCGCGGGCCAAATCCGGCCCGCGAGAATGTTTTCAGTAGCCCCTGGGATGATATTGATTTATTAT